TCAACAATTGTTGTGTTGTTGAGTACCGTGGAGTCAGTTCCAACTCATAGTGACCCTGCACAGGATTTCCGAGGCTATAAATCTTTCTGGGAGCAGAATGCCTCATCTTTCTCCCACGGAACCGCTGGTAGTTTCGAACCGCTGACCTTGAGGGTGGCAGCCCGACTTGTAACCACTATGCTACCAGAGCTTCTTATCAACAATAAGATGTGCAAAAACCAAAACAAAACAGAGTCCTAAGTGTGGTTCTTCATAACTTGCTTATGTTGGTGAGGACTACCTCTTATGGGTTACCTGGGGTAGAGATGACATGGGTGATAAAAATAACAGATCATCAAGGGCATTCTGGGGGAATTTGTAGAACAGGATTTAAAATCCTCAGAGAATCCAGATATTCTGGAACCTTGAAAGGCGTTACCCTGAGATCATCTTTAAACCATTTTTCTTAGTTGTGGCATTGGAGAAAGTTACAGAGAAAATTCGTTTTCCACTCAGCAATTTATACATATCTTGTTTCAAAATAATTTGCATTTCTCTCAGTGTCACACAACTCTTCCTACTTCCTCTCTGAGTTCCCTGTTTCCATCTGTCCTAACCTGTCCCTTTCTGTAGCCTGAGCTTTGTCTCTAAGCAAATGCTGCCCTTTTGATCTTCTATGGTTGCTTGTTTGGAGTAGATCATTCCTTAGGGCTGTTACTGTTCACTTCATAAGCCTGTCTGTTGTTTGGCTGAAAGGTGATTCTCCAGGGGTTTGGTTCAGTTCAAGGTCAGAAGGATGTCTAAAGACAACAGTAAGTCTGGTATTTTTTTTTTATGATTTAAAATTTTGTTCTATATATATATATATATTTTCTGTTCTATCCAAAATCTTCTGTGGTCCCTATCAGAGTGGTTGGTAATGAAAACCAGACATCATCTAGCTCTTCTGGTCTAGTGAAGGTTGCATTTCCTATGGTCCATTAGTCCTTAGGACTGGTTGTTTGATACATATGTTTAATTTTTAAGGAAATCCAAGTTGTCCAGTTTACTTTCTGCTGTTTGTACATATCTCATTAAGTCTGGTAGTCTATTTATGCCACAGATGAGTGCTCCTAAGTTTGTGTCTACTCTTTCTTTGCTGATCTTTATAGTTTTAGGTTTTAAATTAAGGCCCTTGATTCATCTTGAGTTAATTTTTGTATACGGCATAACGTATGGATCCTGTTTAGTTTTTCTGAAAATAGATATCCAGTTTTGCCCGTGCCATTTGTTAAGAGATTGTCTTTCCCCCATTTAATGGATTTCAGCTCCTTGCCAAAGATCAGCTGTCCATAGATAGATAAATTTACTTCTGGGCTCACTATTCTGCTCCACTGGTCTATGTGTCTGTCATTGTAACAGTATTAGACTGTTTTGACTTTCATGGCTATATAGTAGGTCCTGGAGTCCTGGTGTGGCGCTATGGGTTAATGCATCAGACTGCAAAGACGTTTTAACTGTGAGGTCGGTGGTTCAAGCTAACCAGCTGCTCCTTGGAAACCCTATACAGGGTCGCTATGGGTCGGAACCGACTAGACGGCACTTAACAACAACAACTACAAGATCAAGAAGTGTAAGCCTCCTACTTTGTTTTTCTTCTTCAATAGTGTTCTGTTATCTTGGGTCTTTTGCTTTTCATATGAAGTCCAGGATAAGTTTTTCCATGTCTTTAAAGAATGTTGATAGAATATGGATTGGGATCATTATATCTATAGATTGCTAAGAGTAGTTTTGACATTTCACAATGTTAAATCTTCCAGTCCATGAGCATGGTTTGTTCTTCCATTGATGCAAGTCTCTTTTGGTTTCCTGTCATACCATATTGTCAATTTTTTGTATAAGATTTTTGTGTCTTGGGTTGGGTGTATTCCTGAGTATTTAATCTTTTTAGTAGCTATTGTAAATGGTATTGTTTCCCTTATTTCATTTTAAGACTTTTTTTATTCATGTAAAGGACTCAGATTGATTTTTTTATGTTGATCTTGTACCCTGATACTTTACTGAGTTCTTCCACTAGTTTCAGGATCTTTGTGGCTGAATTTCTATGTATAGGATCATGTCATCTGTACACAGGAGTATTTTCACTTCTTCCTTGCAAACTGTTTAAGGGTGCCCTTAAGCCATTCTGACTTATAGTGACCCTATACACACAGAAGGAAACACTGCCCAGTCCTGTGACATCATCATGCTTTTTGTTATGTTTGAGTCCATTGATGCTGCCACTAGGTCAATCCATCTCCATGTAGAGTCTTCCTATTTCTCAATCACTTTCCACGTTACCAAGCATGATATCTTTCTCAAGGGACTGGTCACTCCTGACAACATGTCCAAAGTAGGAGAGACAGTCTTGTGACCCTGACTTCTAAGGAACATTCTGGCTGTACTTATTTCAAGATAGATTTGTTTGTTCTTCTGACAGTCCATGGTGCTTCCAATATTCTTTGTAAACAGCATAATTCAAGTGGCTTGGTTCCTCTACAGTCTTCCTTATTCATTGTCCAATTTTCACATGCATATAAGGCAACTGAAAATACCATGGTTTAGGTCAGCCATACCTTAGTCCTGAAACTGTTATCTTTGCTCTTTAACATTTTAAATATGTCTTTTACAGCATATTTGACCAATGCAATATATTACTTGATACCTTGACTACTGCTTCCATAAATCTTAATTGCACTTATGAGGGACCTGTATATAGACCAAGAGGCAGTAGTTTGAACTTTACAAGGGGATACTGAATGGTTTAAAAATCAGGAAAGATGAGCATCAGTGTTATGTCCTTTTACCACACTTATTCAAATGTGAAAATTATCAATTTGGATGCCATTTATTTCCCTTTATTACCTTCTTATTCGGGTTATGACAGTGTTGAGTAGAAGTAGCATCCTTTTCCCATTCCTATCTTCAAGGGAATGTTTTCAGTTTCTTCCTATTGAGAATAATGTTGGCCATTGGTTTTGTGTACATTACCTAGCTAATGTTGATGCATGTTCTTTCTATTCCTATTCTGCTGAGAGCCTTTGTTTTGTTTTGTTTTTTAATATCAGGAATGGATTTTGCAGTTTGTCAAATGCTATTTTCTGCATTGACCAATATGATCATATTGGTCTGTAATTTTGTTTTTGAGTGGTGCCTTTGTCTAACTTTAGTATCTGGGTTACATTTGATTCATAAAACAAATTAGGACATATCCTAGGCTTTTCTATGTTCTACAATCGTTTGAGTAGAATTGGTGTCAGCTCTGTTCTCAGTGTATGGTACTAAAGTTAACTACCTGTCCAGGACTTTTTTTTTTCCATTGAAAGGTTTTTTTATTATTACTATGACATATTCAATTTCTTCTTTTGTTGTGTGTCTATTCAAATTTTCTCCCTCAGTCTGCATTACTTTAGGTAGGCAGTGGTTTCTAGGAATTAGTCCATTTCTTTTCAGGTTTCATATTTGTGGGAATACAATTCTTCATAGTATTATGCTATTATCCTTTTTATTTTGCTTGGCTCTATTATGATGCTTGCTCTGTGACTTATCATTTGGTCTATTCTGGAGAATGATCCATGTGCACTGGAAAAGAATGTATATGGTGTTTCTATAAGGTGGAATGTCTGTATGTACCTATGAGGTCAAGTTGGCTGCTTGTGTTGTGCAGGTCTTCTATATCTTTGTTGAGGAGTCCTGGTGTGGTGCTATAAGATAAACTATAAGATAATCACAAAGTTGGCAATTCAAACCCAACAGACATGCACTAGAAACCCTATACAGGGTCCCTATGAGTTGGACCCAAGAAAACTACAGTTGACAGCAAAATTCCTGGTTGCATTTCTTTCTAGTTCTTCTTTCATTGAAAGTGGCGTGCTAAAATCTCCTACTAGTATTGTGAAGTTGTCTAATTTTTCTTGTCAATTCTATTAATTAAAATCTTTAAACTTCAAAGCAAAAATACCCCCTGAAGTCTTCTTAGAGCCAATCAATAGTGTTGCTTAACTCATAAAAAAATGTCTGTCTGGAGCACTATAGCACTATGCTATTTTAAGAACTATCTGTATGGGACCATATTGACAATAAGGATCTGAAAGGTTACATAGCAGTTGTAGGGGCAGTGACAATAACTCAGAAAAAGAGGTAAGAATGGATATAAAATGCAAAGTATGTAATCAATGCCACTGAATTGTGCATGCATAAATTGTTGTATTGCTGCAAATTCTATTGTGTATATTCTCAAGAACAACAACAACAAAAATAAAGTATTAAAAATCCAAAGACGATCTAAACATGCTTATTTCATCTAATAGTTCATATTGTTTATAACAAGCCTCTCTGTTACTAAATAAAATAATTTGATAAATTTGCATTTTATCTCCTAACGCCCTTTGACAAATGAAAAGTTAATTCATTCCCCAGTAGGTTTATCTAAGGATAACCCACCCAATGAATAATAAAGTTGGGACCAGTTTTCAAATGACTATGGAAAATCCAAGCCTCCCTTAGACAAGACCAGGTCCCTCCTACCTCTATCAAGAGCATAAGGAGGAGTAGAGAGAAAAGACTAGCAATTTAAAGAGAAATTCAAGTAAAGCTCGAGGCATCCTCTGTAAACTGGGACCAGAATTAAAGTCTATATTTTTCTAAATAGCTTGACTGAGACTCAAATGAAGGCCATTGTTTTCCTGTCATTTCAGGTTAGACAGCGTGCCTATTATAGGTCATAATAAAAGAACAAAATAGTTTTTCAGAATTGCCCATTCTTCTCTCCTTTGTGGCTGTGTCAACTGTAGCAGCCTAATCCTCCCAGCACTGTTACTTGCCCTCTCTCTGTGGTGAGAAGGCAGAATCAAAGATGCTCACATAGAATTACAAAAAGAAAAGCTGAACTTGATTTTCTGTCACCTCAGAAAGAATAACTATGCATCATGCAAGGAAAATTCTACACCTGCCCAAGTGAAGGGAGGACGTGGAGGAGGAGGTGAAAAGAAACCAGGACTTACTTTCCCAAGGCAAAGCATTCCAGTTTTACCGTCGCTCCTTTGGCAGTCGGGACCATTTCTGGGAACTGCACTTCTATTTTTGGCTCATATTCGCCCATCACCCCTGTGAATAAACAAAAGGCTAAGACTTGAATATTCCTTTCAAGCACACACGAGTGTTATTCTGTTAATGTAGGCTGTTGCTATACATCATTTTGTGCACAATTAATTCCTTCATTAAAACTGGCCCCTATCTCTGACAGCCGTGAATTGTGGCTCTCCTCCCAGTTGCTGCTAGAGGAAAATTTGTATCACAGCTTCATACCATCTGCCTAGGATTAAACTCCCCATGCATACAACTTCACTTCTATAAACTATTTCTTTTCAAACAGGTATGGGAAAAAATGAGGTGGATAAAATGCTTGTCACAAGGAAAATCAAATGAATGATCTTTTTGGAAATATACTTGAGAAATATTTAAAATACTTAAAGTATTTTAATACTGTCATTTCTTGGTATGTTTATATAAGGGAAAAAAACTCTGAGTAATCAACTGGTGGAAATAATTTTTACTTTGCCTTTCATTTCCAAGGTCAATCTGGATTAATCATAAATGGATATATAAAAAGTGAAATAAAGTGCCTATATTTGTATTATATTCTGATCCAATAAAAAAAGAACAGTAGGAAGCACCTATTGAAAACAATCTGAAAATTATACCAACATGTCAATGGTGTATTGAATGTGAAAGACTTAGTCTTTCACTTTCTCATATCCTGTAAAGTAACTGTACTGTTATGGCCAAGGTAACACAACCTAACAAACTAAGTTCATGCTTAATATCTAAATACCTATCAATTATTTAATACCAAACCATTCTTGACCCTGTCCACTACTGTTCTAATACATTTATTCTTATTCAATCTCTGGTCATTTTCCATGGTCTCTGATTCTTACGTGCTAATCCTGGTGTGTTCCTGTGGGTTAATGAGCTGGACTGCAGAGTTGGTTTGAACCACAAGGTCAGCAGTTCAATCTCACCAGCTGCTCCTTGGAAACCCTATACAGGGTTGCTCTGGGCTGGACCTGACTCAACGGCACTTAACAACAACAACAATAAGATGAAGTTTGGAATTAGTGACAGAAAATACTAAAAGAAACAGTTGTTGTTAGGTGCCATACAGACTGGGTGCCAACTCATAGTGAGCCTACGCACAACAGAATGCAACAATGTGCAGTCCTGGGCCAACCTCACAAAAAAAGTCAGAGGGAAAAGATTAGAGTTCCAAATAACAGGTTAAAAATAAGTAATAAATTGGGACAGGTACACTAACAAATAGAAGCAATTGGACATATTTTTCAGGGGTGATCTTTCACACCTTCTGCAGTTTCAGAAACTGCCAACTGATTGCCACAATTTGCAGGAGACAAATCAAGCCTAAGTCTCAGATGATCAACAATTTCATTAGGTCTGCTATGTGATATGGCCTAAAATGTGCACACTTGAAGACATTTTTCCCCCTTCTTCGATAGAATGACAAGAAGTGTTGAATTTGTAATAGATATTTGAGATAGTTTAGTCGAACATTCTTAATCTTGGCATCCATGGATGTGTGCTTTTCTAAAGGGAGAATCTATAACTACTGTGATTTTTAAATTTATATGTCAACGTGTCTAGGCTATAGTGCTCAGTTGTTTGATGGAACACTAGATTAGATGCTATTATAAAGTAATTGGAGTCCTGGTGTGGTGCTGTAGGATAAGCACTTGACCATAGGTTGGTTTGAACTGCAAGGTTGGCAGTTCAAATTCACCAGTCACTCCTTGGAAACCCTATAGAGGATCACTGTAGGTCAAAACCGACTCAATGGCTCTTAACAACAACAACAACATAAAGTAATTGCCTTGATTAAATTAGATGACCTTAAGAAAACAGATTGCCCTCCATAATGTAGGTTGGTGTCATTCTATCAGTTGAAGCCTACAAGTTAGAACATTACAGTTTAAATTCATGCACCAACCACTGAAGTCAGTGATGATGAAATTGAAGAATTCTACCAACTTCTTCAGATGAAATTGATCGAACATGCAATCATGATACATGGATAATTACTGGTTACTGGAATGTAAAAGTTGGAGACAAAGAGCAAGTCTCAGTAGTTGGAAAATGTGGTCTTGGTGATAGAAACGATGCTGAAAACCACATGACAGAATTTTGCAAAACCAATGACTTATTCATTGTGAATTCCTTTAAAAAATAACATATAAGCCGACTACATAAAACTTATGTACATCAAAAGATTTTACCAAAAGAGTAAAAAGGGAACCCACAAAATGGGAAAAAAATCTTTTGCAATGACATATCAGACAGGGGACTGATCTCTAAAACCTATAAGAAACTATAACACCTCTACAAGAAAAACACAAATAACCCAATTAAAAAATAGGCACAGGACATGAACAGACACTTCACCAAGGAAGACATTAGGCAGCCAACAAATATGTGAAGATATGTTCACAATCATTAGTCATTAAAGCAATGCAAACCAAAACAACAATGAGATATTATCTTACACCAGCAATAACAATGTAGTTCAAAAAATCAGAGGACAATAAAGGCTGGTGAGGATGTGGAGAGACTGGGACCCTCTGGTGGGAATGGAAATGGTTCAACCACTCTGGAAAACAGTATGGTGCTTCTGCATAAAGTTGGAAATAGAAATACCTTATGATCCAGCAATTCCTCTCCTTGGTATATATCCACAAGAAATATGAGTCAGTTCATGAGTAGATCTATGCACACCAATGTTCATAACAGCACTCACAATTGCAAAAAGATGGAGACAGTCCAAGTGTTCATCAATGGAAGAATGGATAAATAAACTTTGGACATATATACATTGGAATATTATGCTACCTTAAAAAATAACAAGGAAGCTGAAAGCCACTGCATAACATGGATGAACCTTGAGGACATTATGCTGAGTGAAATTAGTCAGTCACAAAATGACAAATATTGCATAAGACCATTATTGTAAAAGCTTAAGAAAAGATACCCATACTGAAAGGGAAAACAACTTCTTTGTTACTTACCAAGGGAGGGAGGGAGGGAGTGGTAGAGCACAGGGCAGAGGATAGACACATCATAGTCTGGGTGTTGGGGAAGGCAATAGACAAGAAGGGGGAGGGGGTGGAAGAACACGGTAGATAGGGGAACACTTAGGTAGGTTTGCATGGGCTAGAGGTATATAGTGATGTATGCTTAACCTTGGAACAACAGGGCTCTGTGATACAGGGATCGAGGCATAGTCCGAATGGGTAATAGAGGGGAAATAATGTTAAGATGCTTGACTGTCTTATGAATATTGATTTCTCTTGCCTACTATTGTAAAATAAACACTGGAGTGTAATATAAAGGACTATCGGTAAACATAATTACTGAAAGTTTATAAGCCCATCTTCAGCCTATAATTCACTGGAATATGTAAAAGGGGTTCCAGAACTTGACCAGTGAAATAGGCTTCTTGAGGAGTCTTGGAAGTATATAGAATCTTAGGTGGAATCCTGAGTCCCATCCAGAAACCTTCTGAGGTGGGACATTCCCACTTGAAAGAACAAGCAGACCAGCCTAGAACAGCTAGAGGAACAAAAGATACATCTTGAAAGAAAGACCAGCAGGAAAAATCAAAGTCAAAAACAAAAATGGCAGTCTAATTGGCTACACAAGGACAAGAAAGTTGTTCACTGGAGAGCCATCAAGACAGTCAAGTCCCTTCAGGACAAAACCCCTCCAAGACTGAAACTCAAAGGGACCACACAAGCAGGCATGTAAGCTTGCTGGGGACCATGTAGATCTACTGGTGAGTGAAAGTGGGGGAAAGGCAGCAATGAAGACATGGGCTGAGTCCGACCATGTTCCATAGAACCCCATCAACCTAGAGAAGAGAGAGAGAAGAGGAGGGGCTGGTTGTTCTGAACTATGGTGAGACCTGGGGACTCCTGAGACCATGGACAAGGACACAGTCACAGAGAGCTCAAGCTGAGAGTGTAGCGTCCAGCTGATATGAAGTGAGGGGAGATGCACAAGAATGTCCAAACTTTCAGATAGTACCCAGTTGACCTACCTTTGATGGATCGATGATTGCAACTTGGCTAGAAGAAGATAAGAAATTTTGATAAAGGAAATAATGTGAATTGATACAATTTGATGAACTTGACCTATACT